CAACGAGTGATGAATATAAAAGAGATGCAGACAATAAAAGTAAAAGGATGCATTCAGAAAATTGCTTACATTAACATCTATTTTAGAACCATTGACAAACTGCAGATGACAGAAATATCAGTCCCTGCAGTTCTCAATGGCTCAACATTTAATAAAGTGGCAACACCTGCCCCAATTTTAATCTAATCTTGCAATAATTTGTTTTCTTGTTAATAGCAGATACAATGGGTCTATTTTGACTGGAATTGGCTGCTCCCACAATGTCAGGACATTGCCAACTATGTCCTATCCTGACATTTGGGATTAAGAGAACAAAGAAAGGTACTTTAAAAATGTCCATTTGTACAAAAAAAAAAAAACTCATTTTAGAAAACATTTTAACTTAAAAACTATAATCAAAAAGAAAGAGGTCAAGATCAGTATTTAAAACAAATACTAGTAATTAAAGCATAAAGAAAAAAAAATCACTTAAGATATGATTGTCAGAATTGTTTATTTTTTGTTTTTTTATTTATTTATTTATTATCCCAGACATTAGCAGTTTCATTTCTCTTGTGTTTACTTATCACTTCAAGGCAACCAGTTAAAACAAACAGATCAATATTAGACTAATTGAAGATACAGGTAAAACATTTACAATTTCAAATATGCTTCTGTTTTTAACTCTTATTTATCAAATGTCAAATTCTCTCTAATCAAAATCTTATGTAAATTAATCCTATTGCATTCCCAAAAGGAAAGTGCTGACAGAATCTCTACAATTTCCAGGAGATTATTCTGGGTTAACGGTTATTAGAAACGTTCATTATGAATTTAACATTTCAGATGGAAGAGACTCATTGTGCACACAAATTCACAAAAGTCCATTTAAAAAATAAAATAAAAATTAAAAAGACAAAGATCAACAGTTTTTGTACAATGTAGAAAAGAGCAGAAGGTATTAAAAAATCTATGCCTAAAAACAATTCTTGAATAATACACACAAAAGGGGAGGGGGTAAAATAATTTAACCTTTAGAATTGTTGCTGTAGAATTCTCTCCCTTTGCAGCTGTAGGTGCAATCTGCCACCTTGGAATGAAGCTAAACTTCCATTTTCCAATGCCATTTTGAATTCTTCTAGACTACACAAGGTATAACATCAATTAAACCCACACTATTTTTTTTTTGATTTTTTTTTTTTTTGTAAACAAAAATGGCTGCATCAACAACCAACAAAGCTTTTTATTCAGGAGTTTTTCTTTGATTCAAATTCCAATGATTTTGAAGGCTTTACTCAGGTGAATATTGACAGTGAAATAGTTGAAGATGATAACTACACTAGTGACAAGTAGGAAAGCAATGGTGATACCAAGCAGCTACTGTCATCCATGGTTGCCAATTTTATGGAAGCTACTGACCTCAGATATACCTGACAGCTTTTATGAAAGCAAATTATTTCTTTTATTTACAAATGATGAAATAACTATTTGTCAATGAGACAAACCAGGTGCAATAGACTCTAAACAAATGCTGGTGTGTCTTCTCGTATCTAAAATGAAAGTTTTCTTAACCATTTTGCTATTTATTGCACCCCCAGAACTCAACAAGGAGTAATAATAGTTAATGTTAAATTGTTAAAGTATTTGCTTTTTTTATTTTAATTTTGTTCTCAAGGTCAAAACATGCATGCAAAACACAATTCATCCATTTTTTTTTTTTTTTTTTTTTTACAAAAAATAAAATCTAGACACACAATACAAAGAAAGTTATTTTAAAATAGTAGTTCATGTTTTTGCACCTTTACACAAAAAAAAAAAAAAAAAAAATGCAGTGGCAGGGTGAACAATTCTACAAAGAATTTAGTGTGCTAAAAGTTAAAGATATTAAATTCTAGCAATTCTTGTGTAATCTACCATCCTACTCTAGAAAATATGGACTTGTATTTGTATTAATCTTTTAGAGAATTCAATTATTCAAGCAGCTCCAAAATAGACACATGTCTATAAATTTTAAATACAAGAGAGAGAAGGGGGATTACTGAGAAAGAGCGAGAGCTTAAAAAAAAAAAAAAAAAAAAAAAAAAAATTAAAAGCAAAAATTTCATTCTTGCAAACAGAAAATCCATCTAGACCAGGCCCCCAATACAATTGATGGATCATTTCCCACTTAGAAGCAAATAAATCATTTGTCTAAGAGATCCAAAAAAAAAAAAAAAAAAAAAAAAAAAAAAAAAAAAAAAAATTTATTAAAAAAAAGGTTCAAACAAATCAATTTGCAATGAGCTTTTATACAGGGTACAGCAGGAATAGCTCCCACTGCACCCTGGATAAAATCATTAGCAATACGAAGACATGCATCTTATGATATACAATGTATTCAGTGTGTGTTTAGAACATAAAAAGCCACTTTCCAGAACAAAAGGAATTAGCAAGATAAAAGAAAGAAAGAAAAAAATTTAATATAATAGTATATTATATATAATGTATATAATAGATGCAGAAATGTACACAAGTATCACAACCAGGTTTTCTAGGTTTGTGTTTTGTGAACAAAACATGCAATGGAAATTAGAGTGAAAGACAAAAAAAAAAAAAACATCAGTGTGTCAATGACAGGAACCATTTTGTCTGGCTGATGAAAAAATAAAATAAAATTTATTTTAAAAAAAATATTTGATATAAAGGTAGGTACCACCACGAGAACGCTAAAAAAGAGCATAGCATGATGAAAAAAGACGCCAAACTTGATGAAAACAAAATTTTATTGTCTAAATGTTTGTTATTATTAAGAAGAAAGATCAAAGTATTTTGGGGTATTTTTTTAACATTTTTAATCATTCCAAGCACGTCTTTTTTTAAAAATAGTTTTTTTTTTTTTGAGTCAGCAAAATTGACCATTTTTTCCATTTTAAAAAAAAAAAAAAAAAAAAAAAAAAAAAAAAAAAACTGGAAATCTCACTTTGAAATTCTTTTAAATATCAATTATTATTTTTACAAAACTTATTCTAAGAAAATCAGAAATTATAATGTTTATTTAAAATATTTTGAACTAAGCTTAACTTAGCTTCTGCATCAAAAAGATGTAATTTGAAAATAAAACAAAGGTCATAAACTTTCACGTCACTTGACAGGTGATGAATGACATGACTTATTGATGGATTCCGTGAGGATAATTTGTTCTACGGAAGGAGAAAAGTGAAATAATTTACATTTAAGTGAACAAATTATTTACCTCGTTATTTTTAAGGAAAACTTTCAGCGCTCTTTTTTTTTTTTTTTTAGCTTTTCACCTTTACGTTTACAATGCTTTATGGAAAATATATTATAAAGAAATTAAAATAAGACTGTTAAGAGTGAGATTAAATTTCATATTTCAAAGAAAGGTATCTAATTAATTTATAGGTACCTTTCTTATGAAATTTTATCAGAAGTGTATCTAAAATACTATAATTTTATGTACATTTATTACATTTTACTGTTTATTTGTATTTCCATTTATTTTATTATTAATTTTGATATTTCATTTATGGAAAAATGTCATAACTGAGATTAATATAAAAATAAGATCATATAAAATTTCAAAAGATGATACTGATACTTGTAGGTACCCTTCTCAGTTGAAATTGAAAAATCAAATTAACTTCTCCACACGTGTTTCACAAAAAGTAAAGGCCTTAACAGTGGAGAACAATGCTTAACTCAAATAATGCAACTTAATTGTATTCTGGTTGGTCTTCCGTACTTTATAATTACAGCCCGATTATAAACACAAAATTACATTTCTTAATTACTGTGGATCTTCTGATTAGTCAAAATGATACAATTTACAAAGCGCTAAAAAAAAAAATCTCAAAGGAGACTTAGGAAACCTGATACGACTTTTTAACTAATTTTATAATTTTTAACAACTTAAATGTAAAAAAATCTATTATAATTAAGAAATAAAATAATTGTATTAAAAATTCATTTTTCATCGAAAACATTTTTTTGCTTTTCAGAAAATATTGTCCATATTCATAAAAACAACTAAAAGCATTTGAAATTAAATAATATCATTGTTTTTTTGAGTTTTGTATGTTACAATTCAGAGCTGATTTTCAGGTTTTTATTATGTGTGGGGGGCATCCAATTAAAAAAAAAAAAAAAATGATTTGCATTCCTCAAAGCCTTGTGCTTTTAATTATTGTAATCACTAAACCCAATGCGATCAAATTTCTAGTGTTTTCATAAAATTAGTTATGGAGGGGGGAGTAAATATAAAAAAAAAAAAAAAATTCTGCCATGAATTTTATAAAAAAAAAAAATATTTATAATAATTTCGATCATCTGTGAATAGTTTCTGAAAGTTTCATTAACATCCGACAATTATTTTTATTTTTGCAAGATTTTTCAAATTAATGTGTGTCATACCAAAAAAACATGCTAAAATTGTCTGTTATTTTACTAGTTCCAGTGATACAAAGAGAAACAAGGTTTTTTTTTTTTTTTTTTTTAATCAAAATTTAAAATGTTTTAAAAATAAAAAAAAAAAAAAACTTTGGTCTTTCCTCTTAATAATAGCATAAGCATTTAGACAATAAAATTTTGTTTTCGCAAGGTTGGCATCTTTTTCATCAAGCTATGCTCTTTTTTTTTTTTTTTTAAGCGATTTCATGGAGGTACCTAATATAATGTCTTGTCTTTAATAATTTAAAAACTAAAAAGGATATTTAAATTAAATGTAATGCAAAAATTTTGATATTTGTTATTTTCATATTAAATAAGATTTGACAAATACATCATTCAAATCCATGATCTCCAATTAGTCAAAGATTCCAGAACAGGAACTATTTTAAAATCCCATTCATAAGCAGATTTTTAGTTAATAATAATTATTCTTTTCAGTCATGTATTTTGATAGATCCTTATGCTTGTCTAAAAACCTATAAATCTACAAAATAACCATTACCTCAGGGTTTTTAATTTTGTGAAAACATGTTGTATTCAAACTGTTTCAATTCTTTTTTTTTTTTTTTGAAATA